CGGGAAAGTCAAACGGATCTACAATGAATGATACTGTAGCTCGCAAGGTACGTCACGGCTTTTGCAAAGCACCGTCCTCGAAACAAAACTAGTGCCTGGTCTTTGCATTAAAAGTACATGCATCAACTAACATATTGTGTAGACAGAACGTTCCCATGAGGAGAATCAAGAACGTGCTTATATTGCCGCTTCGAGGAGAGCAGACAGAAGCATAGAGGCTCGAGTCCAGTCGGCTCGCCAGGCAAGCGAAATTCACAAGAAGCGCACTGGGAAGGGCTTCAAAATCACTGAGGATATCGTCATGAAGGAAGAAATGTATGAAGAGGAAGACGATGATATGCCACGCTCTCTTCACCTTCTCACTGCACACATGGCGACGCAGTCTCCCCAAATGAACTCCAGACTGGAGAGCTATCTCGCAAACAAGGTGGCGTTTTCCCATGCACTCGCCCAATCTAACATGGCTTGGCGAAACCATGGTGTCAATCGGGCATTTGCGGAGTCCTTTCCTAACGCCTTTCCGCTGCATCCACCGAATATCTCTCAGCCTCCAAATGGCTCAGAGCATGTCAACCTGCCCAACCAAGGCATCCACCAACATCCTGAGTGCTATTCTCCTCCACCGGCCTATTCTCCACCGGCCTACTCTCCTACAAACTACTCACCTGCACCCTTCTCTCCAGGCCTGCCAGCTTCGATGCCTCCGACAGCACCGGCAACTGGGTCAGTTTCGCTGGCACAGTCTACGCATCCCTTTGTACCATCTTTCCCATACCAGCCTGCAAGAAATGACAACAGGAGACGCTCGCGAACGTCTATATCACCAAACAGAAAACGGCGGTATGCACACACCAAATCACCGCCCGCACTGGGAAGACAGGCAAAGTTTTCGCCCCCGGCAACGCCAACCCCAGCAACTACTCCAAGTCTAGACAGTAATTTGACCGCGGATACGCCCAGTGATTCATTTGAACCAATCACTACCCCTGGAGACGCATCTGCATTTACAACAATGTTGCCTGCAGAAGCGCGTATGATCTTGCAGGGCGTTGGTGCTGATGATGTTTTGTGCCAGACGCTGGCTGGCCAGGACCTGTTCAACGGTCAAGGCGACTTTACGCAGCAATGGATGGACCCGTCAGTTGTATATGATTCATCCAGCATGCCGCGTGTCCCTTCGATGAACGGGGTAGATCCTGGATTGGTACCAAATCTGTATGGGAATGGCGCGACCGACTCAATGGCGTCTAAGTGTGCCATGCCTTCACCCACTGACGAGGAGTCGTGGAACGCTTTCATCAACGAAAACATTTGGACCGCCGATCAAAATCAGTAATTCTTATGAGACATCAGTATGATGCATTCTGGGTTTGTGGGCGTTTGCTACATAATCACTACATCTCGATACCCGGTTTTCTTCCAACTGATTGAAAGGAATCATAGCTATGGCGTTTGAAAAGTTCGGGGAGTTTGGCATTTGATAGCGGCATGTTACGTGTCGATGAAGATGTGTTGAAGCGTTTAAAAACATGACTTTTTTTTTGTCTTTTGGAGTTGGTTTGTGCAGCGGTTCATGGGCTTTGTGTAGCCTTTAATGCTAGAAAAGACCAAGTTGGGATCAATTGCAATATGCCAATTGACTGTTCTTGGGAAAACATGGGCCAAGAGCACTGCCAACTCCCTCACTTTATAATTGACAGCCGCCGTAATATCAATCTCCTCGCGCAATTTGGATGCTCTACACAATATAGTATACAGTAGGCGCAGCAGCTCGGCTTATAGTAGCCTTATTTTTAACCCACCAGACCGTCTTGTTGTTACCGGCTCTTCCTCTCTCTAATTAGCTGTGGGGAATTCTGGTTTAACTGTATGCTCATTCTGATGTCCTTGTTTTAGGTTATGTAAATAATACTAATACTAATACTAAAAAAAATTATTTTAAAAGATATAGCACAAAACGATGAACATAATAATTGTTAATTTTTCTAGACATGGCTATACTTAAAAACACTAGGAGCGTTGGCGTCATGTTTAGAATGAGTCTGGTGGGAGCTTGCAACGGGCGGGGTTATTAGTCCGATACAAGGTATGCCGGTAGGAAAGGTTGAACATTGGATCAATTTAGGAAGCAGGTCCGGCCGGAGCCAACTACTACCTACTTGGGCAGGTACTCGACGGGCTGAGCCCGGCACAGCACGAGCTCTATACTACCGGACCAGACATGGGCACTCGGGTATGTATCTGATGATCCCTATAGAAGTGGCCATGACTACCATTCAGATAGAGTTGCCTGATCTGGCGGTATTAGACGCCTCGCAGCTTCAAATGTTGTCTGGTGCATTGTGGGCGGGATGTTGGGCAGTGGTCTGTGGCCGAGTACGTGTCCGCAGTGCCGAAATCAAAGACATGTGTGCTTCACAGAGAAGATTCCCCTTGAAGAACCAAGACGTGCCAGGCACTTCTCTTCATGCGCCGACGTACAACAGCGACTGATGGGCAAGTCAATTTCAGCGGCTTCATCTGAACCAGGGTATATACAAGTACATTTTCCCCCCGAATAGTGCTCATTCTTCATCCTTGCGCGTGTTCATGTGCTTCTTATCCTGCTTCTCTGCGGGATTGTGCTTATCCCCCTCGTCCCGTCCTTTCGCGTGCGTCACGGGCTGTGCGGCCTGGGCATCAATCTCCCTCATCCACGTCTTCCAATCGCCCCTCCTCGTCTTCCACGTGTCGCCCTTCCAGGTACGCCATACGCTTCTGCCCATCCAGCTCTCTCGCAGCTCGGCTTCCTGATTTGCAAGGCGCTGCATCATGGATTCCTTGACGTGGAAGGGGACGCTAAAGTCTTTGCCTTTGCTGGGGACGTCGGCGATGCTGTTGATGAGATTGTGGCCGAATTGGGAGGTGGATAGCTCGGCGGTGTGGGGGGAAACCGTGGCCACGAGGGATTTCTGGAAGAGAGAGTTTTGGGAGGGTGTTGAGAGGGCGGTTGTGAGGAGCGTGACGGTTGGCATGGAGGTTGTCGCGAGGCGGAGGAGGTGGGGGGTTGGGAGAGCGAGGATGGATTCGTGGACGGCTTTGAGGGACCCTGGGATGGAGAGGAGAGTTGTGAGCAGGGCTGCGCCGTGAGACTGCACGGCGTATTCGTTTCGTGTGACTTCTTCTTTTGACTTGGCTGGTTCTGAGAGGTGGCAGAGGGTGGTGACTAGGTCGGCGGGCTGGGAGCCGCAGCCTTCTTTGAGGGCCTTGGTGAGTTTCTTGATCTGGTCGTTGATGCCGCGCGCGGAGCAGCGCTCGAATAGGGCACGGAGGACGTTGTATCTAGTTTTGGCAACGAGTTGCGGCACCGTTGGCGTGATCTTGTCCGCTGCCGTGACGAGATCGTCTTTGCCGATGCGGTTGAGCACCTTGATGGCGGGGTAGCAGCTGATGTCGTTGCGCACATAGACTTCTATCCTGGGCAGGAAGAAGTTGTGGTTGAGGGGTTTAAAGACCTTGCCGGGGCAGTGTGCAACGAGGGTCTCGATGAGGCGGGAGCCGATTTGGTCGTAGATCATGCCGTTGATAAATTCGGACGCTTCCGAGGCCGGGTCGGAAAGGGATTTTGGTGCGCCGGGAAGGAGTTGTTGGAGGAGAGTGGGCGGTGCCGTCTCAGACTCTGACGGCTCCGACGACTTCTTTTCCGTCTTGTTGAGGGCCATGTCCAGCTCGAGGAGGAGCTGCAGCGTTGGATTGCCAATGGGATGCCTTGCGAGGACGCGGAGACCCGTGGAGTCGACGCCCGCTATTGAATCGGCTATGATCTTCTGCACTGCCAGCGTAAATGAGCCCGGTACGGCCCGGAGTCCCTTGTTTTGCTCGTCAGCTGCTGCTGAGCCAGCCACCGAGATGTTCTCCTTCTTCTTGCTCTTCATGAGTGTCTTGACGGACACGTCGTCCAGGGGCCGGCCCGATAGAACCAGGAGCAGAACTCGCAGGGTGTGCGACGCAAAGCGGTCGGTTATCAGGTAGCTCAGGTTGCCTTCCAACTCATCCAGCGTTGCCAGGAACAATTCCTCCATAGACGCTTCCGGCTGGTGTTCGTCGGCGCTCGCGCCCTTGATATCCACCGTGAAGCCAGCAAGCTCCTGTGTCACGATACCCGCAGAGCGTAGAAAGAGCGCCTCACAGCAATGACTGGCGAATCGGTGCTGCACGAGGGACAGAAAGTGGCCACCGAACGCATTGAAGAGATTCTTCTTCTGCGTCGTATTTGACAGTTGGATGAGGCGCTCCATCAGCCGTGAGCAAGACTGGCTACTCGCGAGCTTGAGCTCCTTGCCTTGGGCCTCCTTGAAGACGCTCTCTAGGAACATGTCTCGGTCCTCGGCGGTGGGGAATTGATTCAATTCGAGCATTTCGTCGGCTCTCCTGAAGTACTCCTGCTCTTCATCGGCCAGCATGCCGAAGAATTCTGTAGGGCCATTGGGCTGCTGTTGGTACTCTTCGATTGGGAAGTCCTGCTGATCGCCTGGCTGCAATTCGTCCGCGATGCGGCGCTGGCGTTTAGACTCGTACTTGGATTTGTCGGCATCTTCGCCTCTTCTCTTGCGCTTCCGTTCTTCACGGTCAGCGCCTCGTTTCGTCCGTGGCTTGGGCATTTTGTTTGAACATGAAGTGTATGATGGTGGTGGTTGCGCGGTGGGGCGTGTAGTTGGGCTGAAGATGGCCAGTGATTTTTTTTTTTTTTCTTGACAGTAATCGATAAGGATGTACGGAGTAAGGATGCTGCATCGAGCTACAGGCCAGTCCAACTAGTACGTATCACCAACCAGCAGACAGACCCACCAGGACCATTTTTAGGAACTGTACGGAGTAATCGCATCAATTTATTTGTCTCTCTAAAATAACATGCTTTGTTGCACGCTTGTAATCATCTATGTCCATCTATCATGCCATCGTTATATCCACCCAAGTTCAACCGGTCTAGGTCTTTCTACTCCGTAATATATCCGGTATATCTAAGCCACTTCCTTTCCAGCCTCCTCCAGAGCCCTCGTCAATCCCTCGACAGTGCTTGGCAAAGTCTGGACATTGACAACAATTCTCAGGAAACTTCCCACGTCTCCAGGAGCATAGTCCACCATGAAGCCCCTGCCAATCAATTTCTCAACCAAGGCCTGAGTGCGATTCGTGTTCGTCGCTGCATCGCTCGACAAATCGCCGTTGGGTGCGTAATAGAAGCACACTTGGAGGCACGGGGGCGGGTTTTCCGACACCATGGCGAAGTTGCCCGTCTGCTGCACCAGTTTCCACAGGTAGGACGCCATATCGAATGCGTGATCAACCTGCCTCTCGAAGCCGTTGGCTCCATAATACAGCCATGCGAGAGCAACCTTTAAGCTGTCGCCTCGGCGGCCGCACTGTAATGTCAAATCCGCAAGGTCCCAGACATCGTCTTCGGTGCTTCCGTGGAAGAGATATCCGGCGTCGGTGGTGTTTGCCTTATTGAATAGGCTCATGTCTGGGCCCAGCAAAAAGGAACACGTGGTGGGCGCATTCAACATCTTGTGGGGGTTGATGGTGATGGAATCAGCGAGATGGGATCCTTTGACCTTCCACCTCTGCTGAGCAGAAAAGACGACTGGCCCGCCCCAGCTAGCGTCAATGTGCATCCAGAGACCGAATTCTTTGCATATTTTTGAGATGTCCTCGAACGGGTCGTAGGAACCTCGAACTGTAGAGCCCGCAGTGGTGTTGACGTACAACGGGGTCTTTCCCTGCTCATTGGCACGAACCACCAGCTCGCGAAGGGCATCTGCCTTCATGCTTCCGCCATCATCAACAGGTACTTTCCACACATTAGATGAGCCCATGCCACAGATCATGGCGCTCTTTTCCACAGAGTAATGGCCATGGGCGCTCGTGAACACAATAAAGTCATGCTTGGCGTTGCCCTCGGTCTTGCAGTCCGGGTACAAGGTGTTCCGCGCAACGACCAGGGAGGTGAGATTTGAAGAGCTGCCACCTTGGCAAGTTACGCCACCGGCTCTCGGGCCCGTGAAGCCAAACTTGTTGGCCAATGCGCGTCCCGTCGTCTTTTCGATAATGGTAAGTGCCGGCGAGACTTGGTACACATGCAGCTACGCAGAACTCGAGTTAGCTAGGGAGGTGGTGTCATTAGGGCGGGTGACGAACATTTGTGTTCAGGACCGACAGGACAATGTCTGAAATAACGCCAACCTGTTTTTCAAAAGTCAACACATGTCATGTAAATCCTGCTTCACTTTCAGAAGCCGAGGCGGCACAGCATACGGGATTGTTGCTTGCGTATAGCTTATCGAGAAACCCCTGGTCCCAAGTATTGACGCTGTACTTGAGCACCCTTGCGATGCCCTCCAACAGCCCCTGCTTACCCTGCCCTTCCTCGGGCAATATGAACTTGAGATGTGCAGCAAGGCTGTGAGGCTGGACGGCGTCGACGAGGACATTGTGAGGTGTGCCAGTGGCGTCGAGCGGGAGCCGGCCAGTTTCCCGATGAGCCGCGGCATCGTCGGCGGCTTTAATAAAGGGCAGAATCAAGTCGCGCACGGCCGATAGCAGCTGATGCACGTCAGCAAATGTGACGCAGGTCCACGACTTGGGAATGCAGCAGAGTCCTGCTATCGTATACATACATCATCCAACTCTTCGGCTCTATTCAAGCGAGCGGTTGATCCATTGGCCGCGTTACCATTCACATGACCATTGGTCGTCGTGGCAGTCACGGTCATATTGCTGTTTTCTTTTCTTGTTTTTTTTTGTTTCGTCTTGTAGAGGGAGGCAAGGATGATGTAGGGTAAGGTGGGATGCGCTGAGACAAAGGCGGGTGCTGTGTGGCGTGCAGTGACTGGAAGAATGTGTCTTGCTGGTGTGTTGCGTACAGTTAGACAGGGGTAGAGAAGGGACGAGGGAGAAGAAAATTCATGCAATTTGATGAAATTACTAGTCATGTACATAGAGAGTCAGGAAAAAGAAAAGAGGGATCCAGGCCAAGGAGAAGCGTGCGAAAAATAGGATAACTAAGCCAAAGACGAAATGGGGCTGCGGATTGCGAGATGTGAGCCCGCAAAAGTGGCGTCAAATGACGGACCTTGCATGTCCTGGGTGTCGAGGCTGTGGTGTTACTAGTACTTGTGCCTGAAGCCCCACTTTCCCGCCATTTGAGCAATGGTGAAGATGAAGAAGGTGTCAAGGTGTAAACGTCTGGGGTTAGCGGAATGCATGCAAGCACAACGAGCTGTCAAATGTCAAATGTTGTATTACAATGTGAATGATAAATGCCGCGGATGGCTGATATGCATGATGCGAAAGCTACATGCAAGGACCCGGTTCAATTTTTCAATTTAACGCTGATTGGTGGTTTTGCAGTCCATGAGCATCAGCACCCATTGTGCATCCACGTCGGTATCATTGCCGGCATCAATGGATCCTGTCAGCATGACAGAATGTCACCGGGGCTGCGGTCGACTTCAATGTTGGATATGGGCCAGGCGGGTCGTTGCCGAAGCTGGGTGCGCTGTAGTACTAGTACTAGTAGTAGTACCGAGTTTGCGTAGACGTACCTGATACATGCTTGCAAGGGAACAACCAGCACTGACAGTGACTGGAGTCTGTTCTCAACATATTGACACCTTGGTACGGAGTACTCGGCAAACAAGTAAGAATGCCTGTCCGTCGCGAGTCGTCTGCCTGGATTGCAAGCAACTACTTAAAGTACTTAAGAACTTTAAGTACTTGAGTAAGTACCCAAGTAGGTACTTAAGTAAGTCTAAGTACTTAGTAAGTACTGAGAGGTAGTTGTCGACAGCATCCATACCTGCGACTTTCCTTGCACGCTGCTCAACTCATTACCCAAATCAAGATATAAGCCCCATTGCTGGCGCCTGACAGGGAACCGCCGTTCAACATTGCAAGTTTGCGCGAGCCAGGCGTCAACCGCAGCCTAGTCGAATGACCACGGAACACACGCTAGTATCGATCATGGCATGATTTTGACAGGAACACACGCCTCGGTTTGTGCAATGCTTCCCACGCATCACCTGGTTGAGTGTTGATGGATTGTGCAAGACGACACAGCCCGACCATGCATGGCAACTCCTACTTGTCCGTGCAGCTCGACTCTGAGCAGCTTGGACCGTGCAACTGACCCCACTTTCGTGCCCAGACGCGAACGGTACCTACCAGACCCTTTTGTCTTTTATCGTGCCTGTTTAGGTACTGCGTACATCCATGTATTTCTTCCCTTTTTTTTCTTCCCGATTTTAAAATTTTAACTTTACTTTTTCATTTAAGCAGAGCCTGCTCAAGTAGGTTGCATTAAACGGATGGAATTGAAACTGCACTGCCCTTGGCACCCTCATGGCTTAAAATCCCCTCTCTTCGCCGCAGTACCTTCTGACAAGGTCAAGGACTCAAGGTTCTGGCCGAGGTCACGTCACTCACTGCTCACGGACAGAATCTTGTCGCACCAGTCTTTCAACGGCCCCATAGTTCTCAAGCGGAAAAAAAGTGATTGATATCTCCATGTGGCCCATCAATCGTGGACTCTCTGCCCCTCCACCAGCAGAACCCTGTCAAGTCCAAGTCCATGCTCTTGGCTCATGCTGGCACATCAGTTCTTTGTTCGGTCTGGTCCATCTGGGGACTTCTGGGAGTCTGGAAGATAGCAGATACCAACCGAGCAAGTAGATAAGAAGTGTATAGCGCGCACCTTGGACCGAGACAAAGCACCAAGCACCTACTCCGTAACCACTGGTGCTTTCACATTTCCCCCCTCCTCTCATCGTTCCTGCCCTTGAATCTCCACATCGCCGACGCGGAGGAGTATCATCTAGGCTGCGCATACAACAACCAGTCAGCGTGATTGGGCATTGCTTCTTCCACGACTAGAAGAAGGGAAAAGAAGGGAAAAAAAAATCACACACACGCACACACCCAGCCAAGAAAAAAAAGTAGTAAAAATCAGAAGGAATCAGACGCTCCAACCCTTCTTTGCACTACGCCACGCCATCCATCATCACCCAGTGATAGATTCCTCCAGAGCAGCCACCCCTTGCAAACCGGCCGGGCACTGCATCTTGTACTCCGTACGCAGCGACGGAACATAAAAGCGAGAGCCAAAACACCGACAGGAGCTGATTATTATCGACGCGTGCCGTTTTCCCGGACGCCACGCCCTACGATCTTGCATCTTGAGACTCAACGCCTATTTGCGCGTTGCTGCTGCATCACATTTTCTTCGAGTCGCACGACAGGCAGAACAAGGGGACAAGAGATTTTGTGCCCTGTCAAAACATCACGAGGTGCGAGGGACCCTGGCAAACCCAGGAGACCTGAGGGACCTGAAATTTCTGGACCTTGGAGCACATCCTTGCGAGTCGCGCCACGCTTTTTCGAAGAACTTCTACTCCGTCGCCGGCAGACTGACAGGGTCTCGGTGTTGGGTTTTACGCCCACGGCCTGGAGGGCAAGATTTGCCTAAAAAAGGCCTTTGCATACTTTCCCATCTCGATCCCCCTTTGGGCCTTGGAGCTTTGGGCACCATACAGAGATTTTGCTTGCGTTGTGCGTGACTATTCACGAGCGTGACGGGACATTTTCTATTCTTGTTTCTATTTATTATTATTATTATTTTTTTCTTGGGCATCGAGGGTTGTCCTGTTATTTAATCTCGGCAAAAGTCTTGACCGTGTGTGCTCAGCGTCAAGCATCCTGGCTTGACCACGCGAAAACCCCCTCCAGAAAATCCCTTCCTCCGCACCCCCTCCCCCATCGTCATCGCTAACCATGTCCTCCCACGGCCAGCAACCCGCCGTCCCAATCTCCATTACCATCTGCGGCGACGGCGGGTGCGGCAAGTCGTCCATCACGCTGCGCCTCGTCCGCTCGCAGTGGACGTCGGAATATGACCCCACGATCGAGGACTCCTACAGCGTCACGCGCCGCATCGACGGCACCACGTACCACCTCTCCCTCACCGACACGGCCGGCCAGGAGGAGTACCGCGGCATGTGGGCGTCGTCCAATCTCGGCGCCGACGCCTTCCTCATGGTGTACGACATTACGTCGCGCGACTCCCTCGACGCCCTCCAGTACTTTGACGACCTGATCAACATGGAGGCCGAGACCCGGCTCGACAATGCTGCGCGCGCGCGTCGCGCCGGCGTCAACCCGGGCCACGTCAATACCGGCACCGCCAGCGGCTCCAAGACGGTCCCGCCCGTCAAGATCGTCGCCGGAAACAAATGCGATCTCCAGGAGAGCAGGCAGGTCCCCGCCGCCATGGGCCTTGACTGGGCACGCAAACGGGGCTGCGGGTTCATGGAGACGAGCGCGAGGCTCGAGGTCAACATTGAGGAGACATTTGCCCTCATTGTGCGCCGCGTCGTCGAGAGGAGGCGCCTCGCCGAGATGGGCGTCATGGACAACACCGAGATGAACGCCCGTGGCATGACGAAGCCATTGACCCCATTGCCTGTGGAAAGCGACTCGGAAAAGCGAGCTCCGGGACTGCGGGGACCGACTCTGAGCGGCCAAACTTCTGTCGGCCGTGGCCAGGGTGGATTCTGGAAGAAGTTGCGATGTTGGTGATAGTGTCCGATTTCTTCCATCTATGGGCGGCGGAGCGTTGCTTCTTTGTTGTTTTCCTTGTGATATGGTGCGTATTTTTTTTTCCGGCTTTTATTTTTGTTTTAGGGTTTGACAACGGGGGGGATATACGACTCCCTCTTGCTGTAACTTTCTGGGTTCACCCTTTCGGCATATACCATACTTGTGTGTTTGGCGTCTTGAGGTTATTTAAAATGGGCTGGTTGTATTGGCTTACTCTTCTCTTCATTTTGTAAATGTTGTTTCGGCTGGAGAGGCTGCGATTCCTTGGTTTCGATATGCGACAATGTGTTTTGTATGTACATGAGGTTGATTCGTGGACGATGCAATGTTTAGGATTATGATGTATGGCGAGCGAGCTTTTTGTATAGCGTGGCAGAATTCACAAGAGCCATTTGTTAATGTGTTGAGTACCCTGGGCCCTGGGTGGCCTTGTCATCTCCTGCCCATCTACCTACTTACCTAGGTACCTAGTCGGTACTTGTGTAGCTGCAAAAGATGAAATTCCTGGGCTTTGTAGCATCGCGCCTCCAAAAGCAAGCGTGGCGGATATGGGTAGTGTATTACGACGGCAAAAGTCCTTGCTAAGCTTCCCTCGCTTCCCTCGAAACGCCCAAAACCCCCAAGTCTCAAACCCAAGACGCCGGCAGCCCTCTTTGTCTATAACGTTTGGCATCACTGCTTGCTGACAACCCAATCCTTCCACTTCTTGTACTCGGGATAATTCAAGCTCGCCTTCTTGCCCTGATAGCGCGTAACCTTGAGCTCCAGCGACTTCCACCTCGAGCGGCCGCCCATCCAGCCCGCTTTCCGGATGAGGCTGTACAGCGTCTCGTCCTGAGTCCAGCCCTGCTCGGAAGCCACGTCCGGCAGATATGTCGCTCCGTAACGGTGGCCCCTGTCAGTAAACGACAGCCGGATGCCGTGGGTGCCCACCTCCCAGTCATAGGCGTCGTCGGCCTCCTCAAAGTCGGTCAACAAGGTCACGGCGGCCTGCAGCTCGGGCAGCTCCTCCTTGACAATGGGCGAGAAGCGCGTGTCGTGCAGGGCCGAAATGGTCGCGTACTCGGGCAGCCCGACGCCGAGGGGCTGGGACTCAAAGGTGCCGATGCACCCGCGCAGAGAGACGTCGTCCCCCGAGACGGTGTTCCAGGTGACAAACAGCGGGGCGGACGAGGTGCCCAGCGACAGTGAGGACATGGACGTCGCGGGCGTGGACGAGGACCACGCGGGCGACGCGGAGGACGAGGACGCGGAGGAGTCGGCGTCGGCGGCGAGGCGGCGGAGAGCCGGTGTCTTGGGAGCCTGGTCGTTCCTGGACGGGCCGGGTTCCGAGTCTGAAACGGAGCTCGTGTAGAGCGCCCAGGAGGATTCGATCTCGCTGAGGGAGAGGGGCTCCCGGTCCTCGAGGTGGGCGTCGAGGGCCTCGAAGCACATGAGGCAATGGGCTGCGCTGGCCATCGTGTCCGCTCAAGAGGGCAGATTGAGCGGACAGGGAGGGCAGGGGGAGGCGGGGAAAAACAACGAGCCGGCCCGACGATGGGCGTGGGTTGATTAGACGAAGCAATCTACGACAATGACGACGGAGAAGGTGGGAAAGCGACTGATTTGAACCTGGTCGACGTGGGTTCAATGGCACGGGAGCTTCGCATTGACCGGAGTCGACGTCGGGTGGTTGGGGGCAGAATGAAGACACGGCAAAGCTGGAGCTAATCTCTGGAAGCAGAAGACCAAGAGCGTAGATGAAATTGCGAGACTGGAGGGACTGGAGGAGCAAGCATGGGCAAGACAAGGCAAGGCGAGGCAAAGCAAGGCGAGCTGACGTGGTGAGGAGTAGTCGGAAAAGGTCACTTTTGGGTCATCAGGCTCGTCACCCCACTCGAGCAACATTGGGAACCCCGCGATTGCGCAAGCCAGGCTTGAAAGGGGACAGCTGCCAAACTGCGTTCCGAATGGCGCGAGCGGCGCAGACGCCATCAAAAAAACCGAGGCGGCGACGGGCGGCGACAGGCCAATACATACATATGTACAATCGCATATTGGAGCTTGGTTGCCGGAGTGGCACACAGGTCCTGTGATGGGCGGAGGTGCAGTGCCATTGATGTTGGAGGCGCAAATAAGGCGATGACGTGGACGGAAAGGCAAACGCCAAGGGCACGTCGGTCTGTGATTGCACGGGGTACTACGGAGTAATGGCACAGAGTGATTGCTTCTTGTGCCGTGAGTGCATTCAAAGCTGGCGAGGGCTATTTGCGAAGCTTGGTTACAGAGTACTAGTGCATTGGAGGAGAAATAACCTACTTGTAGGTGCTTAAGTAAGTACCATATTCATTGCATTCAATGCAAGCAGCCGGATTTTCAAAACCGCCGATATTCCGCCTTCCTTTGCTGGGCGAGAATCACCGGCACAGCTTTCCCACAACATGGCATCAAAACCCACCAGACATGATAAGCCAAGGAAGCCATGGTTCCAATCGGACCCGATATCACTTACATTGACTTGGAACTATGACGCTACGACCTCGCCCGTACGCCAGCGCGACGGCTGCGCAGGCGGTTGTTCTAACCGGAACTCCAGCCACGCGTGCGTGATCGTCTCTCCTGCTCCACGCCGGAAAGCGGTGCCTGAAGCACCTCTGCGTTTCAGCATGTTTTGAACCATGACAGCCCAGTCTTGCATGTCCGTTTCACGCCCTTCCTCTCAGTATCTCGCCCCGATACGACCTTGTATGAAAGCTTGTTAGGAGGACATGTGACGATCCGACAAGCCTTGGTTTCGCCAATGCCAAGCTTTGCCTTCCGCGGCCATCTCATATATTGCGTTCCTGGTCTGATAAAGATCAGGCTATAGTTGGGACAGCCCGGGGCGAAGTTGGGATGCCTCGTAGTTCGTTTTGAGATGGGTCTGGCCCGGTCTCAGTCTCAACTTACTGCCAAAGTTGATTACTGACACTATATTTAGTCCATAATTTGTCATTTATTTTTTTTTCTCCGCCCGTGGTTCACTGCATCTGATGCAGGCCGTATCAGATGAAGTCTGGGGTTCTCCGATGCGGAAGGGATTGCGCTATCTGGGCCGTGTTTTTATGCCGTAGGGGTGTTTGGCCGATGTTTATAAATAAATATATGTCTCTCTCTATATATATAGCTATAGATGTTGCTCTCCTCGGCGCTTCGTGGTTAGTCTTTTGTCTGTCAGTCACTCCCTTCAGCTATAACAAAAAAAGTCGACAATAATAAGCTCGTCCTTCGCTCTCCTCACACAAGCCTAATTATTTTCTCTCCGAACGCATACATCTCTTTTATCAAAATGAAGTTCTTTGCCGTCACTCTCTTGGCTCTTGCCACTGCCGTCATGGCCGCTCCCTCAGGTCCGTCAAAAATCCTTTGATAGAAAAAAAATGTCAGAATACACTGGCTAACCTCGTTGCAGTCAAGGAGAGGGACATCTTTATCCGCCAGGAGTTTGTTGTTGACACGGAAACCCCGTCCATGACTGACGCGCAGGGCAACGTCGTTCCCTTTGATGCCTCCAACGTCAACCTGGCCAACACGAATGCTGGGTTTTAATTGAAATTGAACAAGGATTGCTGTTTTGGGAAGTAAGCATGACGGGGCTCCGAGGCCTCGATGGTCTTGGGAGTTCTCTTGGCGACGTGTTTCGGTCACTCGTTTGGATACGGCCTCATGGATGAGCTGGGCGCCATCAGATGGCGTTGTGGTCTTTGTCTTGAGGCTTGATGAATTGGAAACACTATAATGAATGTAGCCTTAGCACCAACACTTGGCCTGCAATGCTACAGATATAATGAAATGACGCCGGTTCCAGGTAGAACCAGGTGTTGCGACACTTTTCGCCAAGTTTCTTCGGTGCATCCTCGTGGTGTCTTGTGTTAATGACTAGTGACTGGACCTACCAGTCAATAAAGTTAGTGAATTGCCCATTTGCCCTGTTCCTGCTCATGTCACGGCCGAGCCATGTGCACATGGGATTCTAAGTTTTTAAGCATGTGTACATACATAGTGACGTGGGTCTGGCAAGAACCAGGCTAGCAATGTAACCAAGATGGCGAACTGCAACCATACTTCATGTAGTACACAAGCAGGCCAGAGGAACCAGAAGCGGGAAAATACAGTAAAGAAAGGAATAATTGCATGTGGTCATTTTACCGGCCAATTGCCTGGTCAGGCGTTTAGCGGTTCTGAATCGTGACCCTACATACTGTGCTGGGTCCATGACTCGTCACCGACCTTGATTGACGTTGGTATTTTCCAACCTCCAGTCAGGACTTCAACTTCGACTCTGCACATCCAAGCATGCCAGGCGAGCCGAACAGGCGCGCGTCAAAACGTGCCTCTCTGCTTCGGGGGTACATCTCCCCTCTTCATGTATGTCAGCGCGTCTTTCGGGGCTTTATTTGACGAGGCATCTTCTCCTCTTCTATTTATGGTTCTTTCCGCACAGCCACGCGATGTCCTCGACGTCACTGGTGGTTGGATCCCGCAGGCTGCGGTTGGGAGGTCATACGGAGTAGTACTGTACAATGCTCCAAGTCACTCCCAACCGTCCAACTTAGGCCAGGCCCAACTTTCATTCAGGCTCTTTGGACGAGATTGACCTCGAGACCAGACGCTCACAGTGCAGCAGCGGGTCTGGGGCTGACATGCGGAGCCCGAAATCAGCCGTGCTGGATTCCCTTTTCATCACGCCAGCCTCGAGGACGGGCTGTTTTCTAAATTCTGACCCTAGTATTGCTGCTGGGGGACCTGTGTGTCTTTGAAGGAAGGGACTGGAGATGGTACCGAGGAGGACTTGCAGCCAGAAACAGGCCCTCTTGGTGGAGAAATTGGCGAGAAAATGGCCTTGTTCTGACGTGAGACGCAGAATGTCACGACGCACGTTATTTTGCAATGCTTTTAGATTCCCGTGCCATGCTCTCTATTCTCGGAACCAGGCATGAACCTGCAGGCGTCTTCATCTATGACCAACAAGCCTGGGGCCGTGTGTCTTCTTCCAGACCAGACGTTGGCCAAGCCCGTTTTTCCCACATCAAGTTGTACAACCACAGCCAAGAGCCAATGCATCTTTTTCCCCCCTTGACCGACACTATGAAAACATGCGTCGTCACAAAGCGTGGCCAATGAGCGCAACTACGAGTCACCGTGCTCTGCGCCAATATTCCTGCCTCGCCGCGCCCTCATCAGCTCTGCCTCAGCCGCAAGCCTCGGGCGCTCTGGTGAAATCACTCACACTGGGAAAAGGCAGAATCCCACGGGGTAATGAAACCGGGGATCCAGCTCATCATTGACGGGGGATCTGGGCTCATAGCCTTTATCCCTGCTTGTTGTCACGCACGCCAATAACGCGGATTGTCTCCGGCCGTAGGATGGCTTCTCTGGTGATGGCAGCTCATGCCTGCAGGATGAGCCTCATGCATTGCCAAGTGGGGAATCGTTGCACAAAATGTTGACATGACATGGGGTCTCGAGCAAAGATGAGGAATTGTATGCCTGGAAATAACAGACCGGGCTGTCCCGAGACGGAGGCAGCCTAAATAAATGGGAGGCTTGCAGCCTGGTTGGCTCTGCTCTGCAGTTCTATTATTCTGTTCCTTTGCTGTATGTTGGTCCATTGCTTGTTGGTGAAGGACTGAATATCCGGCTCGACTAAATACGATATTCGTTTTGGAAGAGTGACAAGAGGACTTGATTAGTACCGGCAACAACAGACGGCACACATACGACAATTCCTTGGAATCTGCTTGGAGCAGCACCCTGCCATCTTCCATTCCCATCGTCTCGTTTGAGGCGAGGACGAGGGAGAAATGGCCAATCATCGGGCACAGGCGCAGTTTGAACGCGCGAGATGGCAAGCAGCGGTGTTGTTTCCCATATGGGCGCTTCAGCTTCTTCTCACAACATCCATGATGGGATTGTTTGCATGGAGGCTGGGTGACACTCTGAAACATTATGATGAGCGACAGAGGGCTGGCAAAGTTCCAAGGATTGAGCTGGTGTGAGTATTCAGACCTTGAACAAATTTATTCCTTGTCATTGTGCACCATCTAATCCATGAATAGATGGGAAGCAACAAACGTCGCCATGTCTTTTGTCGCGGCAACATGCACGCTCATAGAAATCGTCAAATACATGACCGAAGCCTTGACGCCGTGGACCGTGCTGTTCACGCACATTGTCAAACTGACGTGCGCTTCGGCGATCCTGGCCCTCGACGTGGTGGTTTATGCGCAAGAGAAGGAATATCAGTCACTTGTCGGTATCGGCTTGGACGTTGCCTTGTTGTATGTGTCGAATCCTGCAACCACCTCTGATTTTCTCCTTCTCCTTCACAGCTAATCATTTTCTGTAGTATCACAGCCATCACATTGGCAATCTACGCCATTCTCACGTACCGACGGCTGTCCGCGTTTGATGACTACGTGCGCCCGGCCAACGTCAAAGGGTACGGCTTCAACGACGGCGAAGACGCGGACTTTTCCTACTCTAGCCGCCTGAGCATCCGAGGTTCCATGGATAAACGCGGCACAGTTGGCTCACACCGTCCGAGCATCGGGTCTCTTCGATCCGTCAAAAACGAACCCGCCATCTTGAACAATATGCAACGAGCACCAAGCTACTACAGCCACGAGCGAGATACACAATTTGACGAATACGTGGCACGCCGAAGTTCGCTCGGTGCCCGGTCAGATTTCGAGCGGCGGACGAGCGGCGACTACCGACGGGACAGCCCCCCGGGAGACGTGTCGCCAGACTCGCTCGTCGTGACTGGCGTGGTGCCGAGCCGCACTCGAGGTACTAGCATCACGCGTGAAGTTAGTTACACGAGCGACCATGTGCTGGTTGCTGTGCCCGAGGAAGAGCACGAGGCGCCGGACGAGGCTGCTCGGCAGGACGACGGGACGACGTTGCTGGGGAGCAGTCGACGAAACAGCGACGAGCAAATTATGCAGCTGCACCCGGTTCTTCAAGAGGCGGATGTTCCGGAGCCGAAGTGGCAGCGGGAGGGAGTAATACTTGATGATATTTCGATATACCCTTGATGAACTGCGTTTTTTTTTTTTTGGTCTCTATTTTACGGGGTTGGCGGGCGGCCATGGCCACATGCATATCCTACGTCAAGAATTTGGCGTCTAGTTTCATTTGACATGAATTATTATATTGTGCAGCGCCCTCGTTTTAGTTTTATGTCGTCAGCACTTATCCCATGTCGCACAAGGGCCTCGGCAACTCAGAGTAGCATCGTAAACGATCTGGTGGATATCCGTTATAGCAAGCGTCGAGGGAATCGAGAAACTTGGACCAGGGGCCCGGGCAACCAGGTGGTTCCGATCTCGCTGCCCTGTAAATGCGGCCGCGGTCCTAGTTCAATAGCGAGCTTGTTATGGACGGCCCCAAAGAACTAGTAGGACTAGTACCCGAATTATCGATCGGATCACACGTCACGAAATGTGGGAACGTGGTGTCAAGTCCTAAGCGGCCGGGGCCTGGATCCGATTCCCGCCTTGGAAGACGTTAAAGCTTGGGAGACCCGCTGAGCTAAATGGACGCCAAGGAGGGTTTGAGGTTTGAAGTGACATGGATGCATTCACATGTTTGCATGAGTAACCCCAACAGTGTAAGCCGTAGCATGCGGGTCCATTCACAAGAAAAAGCGAGCGCAGAAGACTATTCTTGAAAATCATGACAAAGCTGAAGGACCATTGAAATGCTGCTTCATGTTGGAAAAAAAAAAGGTCACATGCTGGTATCGTCATCATAATGTGTCTTATTGATGGTGCCCTCCTCCCCATTATTCAGAGCAATCTTCCCAAGGACGCCTTTCAACCGTTGACCACCTCGTCAATAACCCTCATTGCTCCCATGAGTCTTTCATCCTCGTGAGTCGGGGCGACTACCTGAATCGCCACAGGTAAATCATAGTACAAGTCGTTGTCATCTATTGCCAGAGTGTCAGCCGAGCCAGTGGCGTCCCCGGTGAGAAGTATGCAACCTACAGAGATTCATGTTTTCCTTGTCCAGCTGATTCACGGGCTCGTAGTCTGCCGGATAAGCATCCGTCTTCAGCACTCTCCCGGCGGGAATCACGCCACTGGGATAATCCAGCAGATTCCATTGTGCGCAGTACCCCCACCACGGCTTGACATCGTGCGGCATGCCTTGGACGGACGACACTGGGCAGATGAGCACATCCATGGGCTCGCCGGAGGGTGTGGAGTTTGCGGTTTCGGCCCATTTTTGGAGATATTCGGTGCGGTAGTCGTCTCTTGCGAGATTCAGCTGGAGATGCTTGTTAGAAGTGGCGGAATTCTGGTTCCCCATGCTCCGGGGGGGGGGGGGGTAAATTTCGTACTTTCCATATCTCGTGGTGTGTTCTTTCTTTGACAATGGGATCGTCCAGCAATCGCTTTGCAGAAGGGAAGATGGGCTCGTTTCCAGCAAAGAGCGTTTGCTTAATGTCCCGACCACCGTCGGTAAAGTACAGTGGTAGTAAGATGTCGTCCCATGCCCGTTTGTGATCGTACGCCTTGAACTCGATGACTATCGCAGCATTAGTTATCTACTTCAAGTATGTTTTTTTCCCCTGACGTGTCGCAAACGCATCGTGCAGAACTACCTTCGTGTCCGGAAGCTTTCAGCGTCTTGGCCACCTCCCCAATGACCCGTGTAATATATGGATGGGGCATCACCACCTCGTCCCATAGCATGACGCCGATTCGCAGCTTCTGATGGCGCATTTGGTCGCTTTGCGATACCCACGGCATGCGAAGCAGCGGCTCCTTGAGCCACGGTTTCGCATCGGAATTGACCTGGAAGAAGAGCTCCAAATCCTCGACATTGTGCGCCAGGGGACCTGCAGCGGCCACGACGGACTCCTGCCCCGACATGGTGCATTCCGATCCACGCAAGGAAACTCGCTTCGCCGAGGGCTTGAAGCCATACAAACCGCAGAATGCGGCCGGAATTCGAATCGAACCGCCGAGATCTGCACCGATCCCCAACGGGGAGCCGCGCATGGCAAGAAGCGCCCCCTCGCCGCCGCTGGAGCCTCCGGGGCCAATTTTATTATTCCACGGGTTGACGGTCCGGCCGTAAATGTTGTTTACCGTATCCAGCGTCATCATGCACTGGGGGTTGTTCGTCTTGCAGTACATGATTGCGCCGGCGTTGCGCAGAACCTCGACCAGTTGGGCATCCTGGTCTCTCGCCGGGTTCCGCGCAAAGGAAATGTACCCAGCTGTAGTGTGCTGGCCCTTGATGTTGATTTGGTCCTTGATCGAGACGGGCACCCCGTGCAAAGGCCCAATTGGCCTCCCCGTAGTCTTGAGCATATCGTCCAGCTGCCTGGCCTGCTCCATTGCCTCTGTGAAAAATATCTCGGTCAAGCAGTTCGTCAATTGCTGGGCAACGGCGGCCTGGTGACAGAATGCCTCTGTTACCTGGATACATGACAGCTCATGGTTCCGGATCTTGGCAGCCAGCGCTGCGGCGCCGAGGGCTGTGATTTGCATCTCGTTATACGACAAGAGGCGCGGTAGCAAGTCTATTGGACGGGTAGTCGAGCGGATTGTCTCGTCGAGCTTCAGAGGTGGAATTGTCCATCTTGTCGGGATAGCGGCTGCTCGTCTTCTCTGAAAGCGCTGCGTCGACGTGTTGGCATGAGCTGTGTTTTCAATGGCACGCACACCAGCCAGACGCAAAGGAAATACATACCTCAGCCAGGCCCTGCCACGAAACGCCATTCATCTTCAACGATCCCGTTTCGCACCCGCGAAACCGCCAACTCGTAGACTTGGGAAACGGAGAGGCGAAAATGGTTACGGGTCCAAGGCTTCTCGGAAAGGTGCTAAAAATGTCAAACCACCAGATCCTCTTTTTTACCAACGCCGCCGCCAAAAACTGCCAACTAGGCCGCCCTATTTAAAGCCCGACCCATCTCCTCCGGATGTATGTAGTATGGACCTTGGGAGACCTTGTAACACATCTTGTTGCAAGTGTCTCCGCATCTTCTCTGCGGAGTCGTCACGCAGCGTGCGCGCAGGCTTGAACCAGTCAAACGAGGGCTGCAATGATGAAGTCTTGGCGAAGCAACATTGAACATAGACAGGCCAACGGTCAACTGCTCGTCGCCTGACAGATTTTGGCTATTGCTCGCAATATCGATACTATGTACATGCACACCACACCGTGACACACACATGGTGGGGTAGCGAGGTGCGCTCACTGCACTGTGAGGTTAAATTGCGTCATGTTGTACCGCAACGCAATGCGGCATTGTACCGAATAGGGTTGGCAAAATTAATAGTCTAGACAAACGCACACATTGCTGAGCTGCCACTCCGCAGTGTGCACCGAGGCCGTTGTACATGGGTCACGAGGCTCCAAGAAATTGTTTGTGCTTTGATGCGCTTTGCTAACGCATGCAGTGTGCGTGGAGAAGCCTGACAGGGGCCTGCTTGAGATGCGGAGAAGATGGAAGCCATTTTGCCCATCCCTTTGAATGTGCGCAGGTCGGATTTTTGTAACGGACCAGGATTTTAGCTAATAATAAGTCCTTTTCTAAGAGATATATATACTTCTTAAGAAATCATATAATAATAAAATTACTTACAATTTTAAAGATACACAAGTATATAAAAATATATTAGTTATTTTCCCTGCTAGAATAGTACCTATCTTTAAGTATCATAAAAAGCGGGTCAAACACATCAATTGGACCTGCGCACATTCAAAAGGGTAAAATGTCATCTGTCGACTCAAGTGGGCCTGTTCTCGGTCGTCAGGTAGACAAAAAAACTCGATCCCTGTGAGCAGCACGGAGAGCCAGGAAATGGGCTTTTCCAACACGACACGAAAAGTGAAGCTTCTGAGCAACAGCCCAAAAGTTGCAAAGAGTGGATCATGACCCGAAACAGCCACCATTGCCCTACCACTTCCGCCTTGTCCAGATGAGGATTTGTTCCGATGGCTGAACAAGTATCATCACTGATTGTCTAGGACGATGGAACGACGGTTTCTCCTGGGTTCGCTCATGAGCGCCGTTTTGTCAATACTTGTACCATAAGGGCCCTCGGACACCATGAACATTGCAAATCCCTTGCTGACCAAGACATTGCCCATAGGATGCTCTGGAGTCGGAATAAGAGCATTCCCCATGAACCTTCTCAGCCCCATGTCAGTTCTCCAATGTATGCAAATCTAGAGAAATGATACTGACAGATCATCACTTTGATCATAGATGAAAGCCACACTGTCCTTCCTTTGTTGCAGATTTGCCTCTTTTACAAGTGTCTGGCTAAGAGGAAGCAGAGACGGATGCCAAGACTGTGGTTTTGAGCAATTCAGTGATTGAGCGATGGAGATATGGACGGGATAGGGGCATACCGATTGCATCGGCTTTCATCCAGCCCTTCTCTTAAAGTGATGCCCAAGACGGAGCAATGGAGTTGCTGTTGTGTAATCTCGATCATGCTGTTCGGGCATTTACGTGCACTCCTGCAGTACTTGGTTCTGTTACAGAATAAAGTAGCAACAACCAAGTCTGATGCCGTAAGCCCAAGGACAGTAATCGGTCAGGAACCGGGCTGTTGCTGCATTTGTGCAAGCTACAACCAACCAAACACGGACAAACATGATAAGGAAGACTACAGATGAGCTTGCCCTTCGTGTCAATGGGTGAAGAATCATCCCAAGCGTAGCTCGTCCATCTAGACGTTGATCCGAAGACACGTAACGTGGTATGCATAGGGCGTTGATCAAAGCAAAGCCGTACGCTAGGCCTGTAGGAAAGTCGGGGACGATATCTGGCGGAGGAAACATGCGGAAGCTGGTCATGGTGCTAAGGTTGAGCAAACGGAGGAGAATAGTCTCAGCCCAGAAACAGGGCAGCCCGATGTACTCGAAAACGTAGAGGAGGAGTCTCAGCAGAGACATCCAAAGGGACTCCATATCGCGGTGTCGGGTGTGGACGGTGACGCGGATTTATTGGGCCATGAGGAGAGGAGACGATTGTTCGCCCTTGTTTCTCCGAGTAACAAGTGTTCTTCACAGGGTCGACTTGGAATGCGGACGAGACCTCGCTGATATACTGCTTTTCGGCGGGAGTCAACGGCACAAATTTGCTTCCATGATGACGGTTGGCTGAGGCTATCGTGAGATGGCTTTAGCTAGCGGGCCGCGACGCAGCACCAATTTCGCTGGTGTGCCTGGCGCGTCATAATACGCAGACGGTTTTTCTGGTCTCTTACTATTCTTGGCTTAATACAGCCTAATACTGTGTCATCAGATATTGCGCCTACACGACACTCGTATCATGCTTGTACTGTCATTTGACTCGAGAGCGAAACCATAATCCCCTTACCTGCGGTGGACAATGCTAGTGGATACTGTCAGGTAATTTTCGGATCAATCGGATTAGTCTTTAACCACTCTTCTGCTGGGGGGGGGGGGCTATTTTGCTGCTTGACAGGGATTCTAGCTTCGGACAAAGGGAGCATGGCGTCCAAGTGCTCGAAATATACCAATTAGTTGGGGAAAGTCGCCAGTCTCATCTGGAATGATCGCCCGTCTCTATTCCTAGTCTAGAGTTCTCTGTACGTAAACCCCCTGGCGGTCCAGGAAACCCCATGTGGAAGAGGCCTGCGCCAGAGGCTGACAATTTTCCAAGACGCATCAGGATATGTCCGAGAAAGGTGCCTATTGAAGTTGGCGGTGAAGAGCGGTGCTTTTGCAGAGTCTGAGCTTGAGCTTGCTCCCTCTCAAGACTTATCAAATGTTAACCTGTAATCTCTACATGCTAACGGAATGCAGTGTACTTAATACGGTGTTGTGCTACGTCCCGGCGGCAGTTTCATTCTCACCACAAGAAGCATCGTGGGTGTGGAGTAGCTCGAGGGGTAGAGCTTACTATATCGGCATTTGTGGTGCTTGCCGAGGGAACCTCGTTGTCCACGTCAGAACAATTACTGATTGAAAATATTGCGAATCTAGAGGCTTGTTTAGTCCAGCCCAGTGCTTTCTGCTCGCGACACCAGAGCCCTGGTAGCAGGATCTATCACCGCATTGGCAATAAACGCAATAACATCGAGGAAATATGATCAACCGATGCCCATACCGATATCGTAGCATTCTTGCCTTTATTTAAAGAGATGTGGAGCTGGTCATATCACCCGGTAACAACGTGTTGGTGAGTATTCTGGTCTTGATGTAGGCATGTGTCCAATACCTTGACTCGGCCATTGTTTGGAAGGGGTCCAAGGTTTTGCTGTTATGGCCCCAAACAAGGGCCTGATGCCTGATTCTGCTAGCCACAGATCTTCGTATTGGTCAGGGACACCTACAGATGTTCGCCAAATCAACGATACACGTATAGTAGGAGTTGACCTCGGTTCCAGAATTTTCTTCGAGTTGCCTGCGCAATGTCCCCAATCGCATAAATAGTAGACAAAACGCGGGTCGGGAGAGCATCTGTTTCTAAGCGAAACATTACTCCAAGATACCTCCGACACCGTGTCACGCCATCACGGCGCTGTCGCCTTCACTCCTGCTTCCAGTTCTGAGCGGTGCCAACGTTCCGTGATTGGGGGCACAGTACAACCGTACGTCTCGTGTTGATCAAGTTGACCACAGCCTTTGCATGCAAGCTCTCGCTTGAGCTCTATCCGGGGCCTATACATCACGTGTACGCTTCTCGGTTATACCACCATGGTACCAAAGGAAAAATAAAGGGCCAATGTTTTTGTGTGCTGAAATAGATATTCCCGAGACCGTGGATTGCGAGTTGACGAGTATCGTAAGCCAAGGCGGTACGATAAATGCGATGGTCGCTTTATAATATCTCCTGCTGCTTGCCCTTCATCTTAAGGAACCAGATTAGCTGAAATTAGCCTTTCACACTCCTCGTAATCAACTCGGCCGAACATTCGTCCTTGTTCCCATGCATATTCCAATGTATCTAAAAGTCGTGAGACATGCTAGACCGACACAACACCGTTAGTTGAGGGAATTGGTGAGACAGGAGATGAAGAGGCACCAACCTTGAAACCAAAACCCCTCATAGCTGCCAACCGCTCTCTTATACTCTGTTGCTGCCCAGGATCAACTGTGGCAATCCCAGTCGTTAAAAGTGGCCACAGCACAGCCAGCTGGTTGATGCCGGACTGAAAGCCGAGAATTAGAGTTAAAATGCGAGACACTGCTGCTGCAACTGTCGGGTCAGTTGCAGCGTTCCCGATTCTGCGTGCTTTAACCGTCTCCAAATGAACGGCACAGGACAAAGAGTATATCTGAATGCATGAAGCGGCAGTCAGGGTCTCAAATTCCTCGGGTGTAGCATCCGCTGGCATGGAATCTAGCTGGTGCAATCGTAGATAAATGTCAGGTGCTGACTCTTGCCAGTTCCGCAGCCTGTAAGACAAGTCATTGTAGTACATATCTTTCTGGTGCTGTGCCAATCCTCCCCTATCCATCTTGACGAACTTGCTTATATCTGTCTGGATAGACATGATTCGTGACCATGATTGACGTATTTGAGCCATCGTGCGGTCGGTTGGTGACCGAACCGTGGCGAAACTAGGGACCCCCATATTATATTCCCATCCGCCCCCGAAAGTTTCCCAATAGTCACCCTGTATGAATGGCCCGTCACCAGTTGCCAAAGATGCAGCAACATCTAGATACGCCATTAGAGAAACCAGAAAACGCCGTAGTGGAAGAGTGTGCGACACGCTAGACAACTCCATACCACTGCTTTTTGCGGTAGGACTTGACGGAGGGCCAACTCGTGGACTATACAGGGATTGGAATATCTGCGCAGCTCCGGCGAGATGAATCCTCCAAGACGCATCGTTGGATGATATCTTTTCGAACATGCATAGAAGTAGGGTGGTTGCTAAAAGCTCCAACGTAGGGTGGCCTTGGTTAAACGCCACAGTATCGCGAAGCTGTGTGACAACATTGCCATACGCTTTCATCGCTGCACTGTGATGAACTTGACGATTTCGAGTTTCCGGTAACCCGGCGATATGCATGGCACCAAAGGCCTTCATGACATCTCGAAGCAAACCAGAGTTGCTCATCAGACCCGGGAGCTGTCGGTACGGATTTGAGTTTGCAGGGGTGTCATAGATGATGAGATAGGATGAGACGGTTTCCAGAAAATGGCGCAAATAGAAGTTGTCGTTGAAACCAATTTGCCGTGGCACGTCAGTGGCCTCACACCAGTAGACGGGCGACGCCATGTATTGACCTTTGACAGGGAATCTGGCATGTTTGTAATTACAGGCGAAGTCTTCTGATATGAACGATAGGCTTGATGGTGGAGTTTTTGACCCTGCAGGGGACATTGTACTCGTCATCGCGACACCATCAATAGAAGATGATTCCTGAGTGCTGGTCTCATCCGAACCATCTTCACCACTTGACGCTGAGTCGAATCTGCTGGATGCTCGTGGTTCTGAGGACGCAGCTGCGACCTTGGCTCTCTTGTCAGCCTTCGGTCCCGGGGGCCCGGCGTGTCTGACGGCCTTGAAGACAAATTTGCGGTCGAAGTTGCAAGGGAGGTTTAGACGAGTGCAGTTTGAGCAAGAAGGTGCGCCTTCATCGCATTTGACATGCCTCCGGCGACAGTTGATGCAACCCGTGAAGACTCGGGAATGCCATTTTCGTTGTCGCACGGGTGCTAAAGCCTCTGGCCTTGCGTCGGGATCCGGCTTCACCATCGCTTTGATGTCATTGCTGTCCACGGCATGGAAGATACCACCAACGCTTGCGTCAAAAAGTTGCCAACAGCCGTTAAGGAAGGCCAGACCATCGAACGGAGGGCTGGAGCTGAAGTCTTGCCTTGCGTGGCAGTGACAGTGGCAGAGGGTGAAGGGTCAACGTTGAAGGCGACTCCGTCTGGTATTTAAATTTGAAGAGCACGTACATAAATCGTCGTCGCATCATCACCTCACTGCGTCGCCGGCAAAGTCACCTGGGAAGTAGTATGTTCAAAGTTACTGGCACAACAGTGGTCGCTCCTGCCGGCGGAAAAGTCCGTTGGCCCATCACGTGGAACCCGGTTGGGCACAAAATCTGGAGGTTCCTCAGTTACGAGAGCGGGTTACACTCTGGCCTCCTACTACGTACCTAGGTATGTACTCCATCCCAGCATAGCATCCCAGAATCCAAGGGTGCGAAGCGCGAGATTAGAGAGAGGCTACATGTCACCGTAGCCTCATGTACGCCACTATCGGGGGCCCTGCCTGGTATCGTATCGTCTCGAGGCAAGATTGGTGGAAACGAATTGATTGGCTGCGGCAAGGTGATGATTCTTTGACTGACCGAGATGTTTTTTTGGGCCAGCTCAATGTTTACATTTACCTTGTTGGCGAAAGCAAGTGGGTATGTTTTCGATTTGAGACCGTTATAGTACTTGGCAAAATGTCCACTGACCCAAAGAAAATGGAAACGTAGTTTGGCGCTTTGAGAGTTTCTTCACCAAGATCGGCCTGGTATCGCACCTTATCTACGTACTAAACCGTCGTTTTCGCCGAATAACCATGCATGTCTAGCTCACGTCTCACATCACCCGCATCGGCGATCAGATGGAAGACTCCCACGTGGTGAAGGATCAATTCACCAGCCCCAGTAAATTGGTCTTGCCACCCAACAAGCCAGACTGAGAATGGCCGACTGCTGAGATGCGAATAATGAAGGCAGAATATAAACCCGGCCTATTTTTTTTAATGAAAAGAAAATGACCGGGGCGCTATTTATCATTGCAGCAATAACATACATGCCCATGTTTCATGGGCACCGATAAGGTTCAGGAGTAGCTATTATTGAACCGGAACCGGAACCGGAACCGAAACCGATCCGTGACGGGACATTGTGGTAGCCAAAAACCTTTCGATGTTTTTGTACCCGAGAACGAGCGCCTGGTGTCGGGTATTAGTTAATCAGTCAGTCACTGAGCCTGATGACTCAGTTATCTGGTCGAATGGTCTGCAACGGATCATCGCCTTTGTAGACTTTCACCAATTTTGATGAACCTCTTGGCCATTCACCACAATATTGGAAGAAATAATAACCCAAGAGCATTGTAGAAGATATCAATATTTCGAAGCTGCCTGTCCGCTCTGCGATCTGTTATTCCGCCTCCATCTACCAGACTCGCTGCCGTCCAGACCCGACGCATTGGTGCTGAGCACCGAGCCGTAATCAACTGCATAGGCGGAACCAAAACCTAGTCGGCCTTCAAGTCCAAATGGCTAAAACCGTCATTGCGTTTGATCTCTACGGCACATTATTGTCGACTGAGTCGATTGCAAATGAGCTGGCCAGGGTCTATGGCGAGGATGAGGCCAAATTAATCGCCACCCAGGCAAGGCGATACCAGCTCGAGTACACCTGGCGTATTAATAGCATGGGTAAGTAAAAACAATACCCCACCTTAAAGACTTGAAAAATTACGTGTGTGTATGCAGACGATGTAGCCTTTGACACTGGGGATATACATTCAAGCATGTTGCGTAGCACAAGCGGTGATGCTACGCTGTTCACGCCGCGTCCAGTAACTGACGACCAGGTAGGCCTATACCGATCATTCTCCGAGTTGACCAGACACTCTTTTCGCCAGGCAACTGCAGAAATCGGCCTAGAACTTTCCAGGGACCAAGAGGAACGCATCCTTGATGCCTATAATGGACTAGACACATTCCCAGATGCAGACAAGGGTCTCGCGCTTGTGTCGCAAACGCCTTCTCTTAAACCGTATATATTTTCCAACGGAACAATGGCGATGATTACTTCTTCGCTCAAGACCTCGCCATCGCTGGCCAAGTCGGGAACGACATTCTCAGAGTCTAATATTGTCAGTGTCGATCCCCTCGGCGTGTTCAAACCAGATCCTCGGACGTATAGACACATGGTTGAGATGGCTGGTTTGACACATCAGTTGGACAAGGTCTGGCTTGTGAGTTCGAATCCCTTTGATGCTGCGGGTGCTGTTGCCGCCGGACTGAGGAGCGTTTGGGTAGGCCGACAGGGAACTGGGTGGATTGATGGACTGGGCGGTGCGCTTGGTGTCAGTCCAACGGCAGTCGTTGGGAGCGTTGAAGAGGCTGTGAGAGAGATTATCAGGTTAGACGGTTTGGATTAGGCGTACGGGTAAAATGGAGAGAGTTTCGATCGAGGCCCAGTAACAATAAACGATATATAAACAGGAGACTTTGGATCCTCCAAGTCTAGAGAAACATGACTTGACCGTGCTCGAATCCTGACTCGATTGGACTTCGCTTGCCGTGGACCGGTGACAGCATTCAATAGCACTGGGACGTAGCCCCGAGGTGCCTATTGATACTGCTAAGAACCACAACAAGCAATCCGAGACCTCGTTCTTGGACGGGACAGCTTCTTCCTTCATCTGTCTTAAAGTACGTTATGATAAGGCGACAGAGAAAAACGGGAGTCCTGACGGCTCTAGAAAGAAGGGGTCAGCTGCAGCTATTGTTGCGAGAGGGCATAGCATCACTTGGTCTTAGCAAGTCCCGCGGTCAGATGTGACTGGTGTTGAACCAACGCGTTCACATGATAAAGTCTATTTTGGAAACCGAGTGAGTTCTAAACTCGATGCTGCAAATTGACAGGATTCGCGTCATGCTGGAGTACGTACTTTGAACTTTGAAGTTTAATATGTGGCTGCTGACATGGGTACTGAGGCTAGTCGCTGATGCCATGAGTCAACTGTACATATTGACACGCTGTCAGTTGGATGTTTCAAATTCTGCAAGTCCGGCAGGCAACATTGAAGCGGCCGTCAATGCTTCTGGCGCTAAACAGGAGCCTCGGTCCCTGTCACAGCGGCTGCAGGGGCCGTGACTCCCGGCACTATGTACTAAAGTACATATTGACATGTCAATTGACCCACTAACATTGAAGCCAGGCACGATGTCAGTTGAGATTTCCATCTCCGCTGAGCGGTGGCCATTTGATTGGCTGGCAGGCGCTTGCGGATCCGCACCTACAGACGCGCTGCTTGCTTGACCTTCGGCATGAGCTGGTCATAGCCATCGCATTCGCTTGAACTCTCTGATCCAACAGCTTGTGCGTTGCCAAACTCCCGCCAGCCTTTCTTGTTCCGTAGAGAGCGATCGAAGAACGGAGCATCGGCCTAGGTGTCTGCTACTTCACATGCAGGCATCTTTTGTCAAACCTTACGAAGCTTAACGAACAAACACAGTTAAGCCACAAGCAACAATGGCTCCAGTTGGCGACTATGCCGACAGACCTACTCAACGGCCGGCCCGCGACGACGACATGGACAGAAGAGACAGTCATAGAAGCTCACGGAGAGCTCCAGACGGCGGCCGCCAGGAACGACAAAGGTCCCGTGACAGAAGGCGGCGCTCACGAACCCCAGACTCTCCCGGCCGGCATCGCCGTCGCCGGCATCGGTCCCACGATGGAGAGCGTGAAAGGGGCAGTGGCGGTAACCTTGACATCCGATCCGGCAGGCAAGAAAGAGCTCGTAACGATGAGCGTTCAGATCGCCGAAGACGGCGCAGAGATGATGGCGAATCGGATGAGGACCGTCGAAGGGACCGTCGAAACCCTGTGAAGCAAGGAGGGCCATTGCCGTCACAAGAAGACTCCTTCGCCATTGTGAAAGGGGAAGAGCCGGAGAAGCCCAAGGAGAAGCCTAATTTTGGCAGCTCGGGAGCACTAGCCGCAGCGTCCAACTCGATTGCTCAGGCCGATGGGTCATCCATTGTCCTCAAGTACCATGAACCACCGGAAGCTCGGAAGCCGCCGACCCGAGACCAGTGGAAGCTCTTCGTCTTCAAAGGAGGCGACATTGTCGATACTATTGATCTCAGCTTGCGAAGCTGCTGGTTGGTTGGACGGGAGATGGCAGTTGTGGACTTGCCAGCCGAGCACCCCAGCATTAGCAAGCAGCACGCCGTGATACAGTTTCGTTACACGGAAAAACGAAACGAGTATGGAGACAAAATTGGCCGAGTGAAGCCGTACTTGATCGATCTGGAAAGCGCCAATGGAACCGTACTGAATGATAGCAAAGTTCCTGATAGTCGGTACTTGGAACTGCGAGACAAGGATATGATTCAATTCGGGAACAGCACAAGAGAATACGTTGTCATGCTGGCACCCAGAGATTAAGATTTGATTTTGCAACATTGTTCCCCTTTTTTTTTTCTGTACGCCCTTGTTCACGTCTCTTTTCAAACATCGGACGAACCACTTTTCATGCATACAATCTAAACTCCTATGCATCTATCTTGCTGTACTGGTTGACATCTGACAAGGCATTCCTGAGAGAGCAGGACGTCGATGCCGCAGGCACCATCGAGCTTACCGATGCTAGGCTCGTATTTATGCACCCACATGAACCAACGGTGTCACCAACATGCGTCCAAACAAAGAGTGGAAGCAAGGACCACGGACGAATGATGTGGCTGAGAGTGCTGCCACCACCTTGTAGAACCGTCTTGGCTAGTTATATCCACGCACACAATGCTATGCCAAGGTTGCACCGAATGTCGTGGGAAAAGGATGAAGAGGTGACTTGAAACTGGCTCTTGTCCCGTCGTAATACGCGCGCCCTTGACATGTCGATAAGGAATACTTGAAGAGACCTTTCCTCGAGAAGTACGTTGGCTGCTTCGTCCTTGGGATGATCAACGGCTTCCCTCGATGCCAAGGATCATGCACCTGGAATATGTCGACATGTCGATGCACTGGATGAATTCTTGGAGCACCACATGCAAGTTCTTGAAGATGTGGGCCCTCATACGCGCCAACTGAGTTCAGTTCGTCCTGCATCACAGGCAACAGTCGCAACTGACAACCGGAGATGCAGGCCCTTCGCAGGGTCGTGTGCCTATCTAGCCTGCTTGCGCACCAATCAGAGGACAAGAATGGAAAGACGACAGCAGAGTCCAGAACTAGAGGCGAACTCGGCAGAAGGTGATGGATGATTCCAAACGGTGGTGGTGACACCAGATCAGGCCTCCGAGCCTTAAGTGCGCTGGAAAGTTACGTCGATGTAACCGCGCAACTTTTAGCCTTTTCACGCTCTGAAAGACGGCGCCGGCCCGTCAGAACAGCCAATCAATTCACTTCCGGCATGAATGTGGGTGACGACGCGTCTGGTGCCGCCGTCATTGTTCACGTCCAGCGAAACCAGAGGTACCATGGCCAATGACTGTCTGGTGTGAGATGACTGAGGTCGTCTAGATGGAAGTTGTGTGCGGAGTATGCACACCACCGATATGGATATGGCCTTTCCAAGCAACCTCAACAATACGCGGGACTCGGATACGGGGTCTCACCAAGCGTGATGAGATGGGAAAGGGTCGTCAACTGCGGCTGTCGCATGTGTCAGATGTCACATCGCAGCACTGAGCCTGGTTGAGTGGGAGTTTTGCACAAATATGTGTGCATCTCAGATGCCTGCGTCAAGTCACCTCAACAACAACACAACAACAGAGCCCAATTCCTCACCTACAAATAAATCATGGCGAGAGGTAGCCCGCGGAACAATACACCAACTGCCCAGTTAAATCCGTGTTTGCAGTTTCTCCCTTGGCTGGCACCTTGCCACTCGTTAGACATCTCCGGAGGAGGGTGCGGTTCTTTCGGCCGAATATCCTGCATTAGCACGGAGGTGACTGTGATGGCCCGGACGATGTCAAACTCATGCTACTGGCTAGTCCCTGTGATGCCGGCCGCCAGTTTCCCCTGTGGATTCGTAATGGCAGACGACGGGTAGTCTATTCTTGGTCCGTTCTGGCATGTGGGGGATTCAATGAAACCTTGAGGGCACATGCCCATGTACGCCGTACGATAGTTTCTTCGATTCGGCCCTGTCATGGATCCTCACGTTGCTGTCCGCCTACATCCGGTCTCTCTCTTTGGATGTGCCGCTCCACCGGCCGGCTCGATTCGACAAGGTGCAAGGTTTTTGTCCCTCGGCTCCGTGACGAGTGAAAGGCTGAAAGGGTGAAAGGGTGAAAGGCTTGGGGATTTCACGGCTGTCACGGTTGTGTATAAAGACTTGAGATGCCGTCGTCCAAGAAGGTGAAGAGAATAAAACAGAACCATTCCAGACAATCAGACAAGCTTGATAGAATTGTATTTTGCTCGTTACGACCGCTGCAGCTGATAAAAGACAGAAGCAGTTGTTATACGTGTTATTTCCCCCCTTTCCTTCTCCTCCTTTCACTCGTTGCGTTAAACTAATCACCATGGTACGTCATCCACGGCCCTCTCCTTCTCCTAGTGCTCCTGGCCTCCCATATGATTGATTACTCACCCCGATAATCGTCGCAGGGCTTCGAACGCAACATTTCTCGCTACGAAACCTCAGCCGTCTACTCCCACCCAGACGCCAAGGTAGACATCGTCCTCGTCCACGGCCTCAACGGCAACCCGGAAAAGACATGGACCGCCAGCAACGGCACCTTCTGGCCTACCGATCTCCTGCCCGAGTCCCTCAGGGGCGTCCAAGCCAACGTCCTCGTCTACGGGTACAACGCCGATGTGTACTCGCGCAAGAACGACCGCAGCGCAAGCGACAACTTCATACACCAACATGCCCAGACACTCATTACGAACCTCACTCTGTACCGGAAGAGCGAGGGCACTTTTCGAAACCCCATTATCTGGGTCTGCCACAGCCTGGGCGGCATCTTGGTGAAGCGCGCGCTGCTGTACTCGAATGACTTGCGCATGACACACCATCAAGACTATCGATCCATCTACGTGTCTACATTTGGCCTCGTCTTCCTCGGCACCCCGCATGTAGGATCAGACGCCGCTACGTGGGGGCTCATGCTGCAGGGCATGGCGGATGCCATTATGCCCAGGAAGTTGTTCGAGTCCGAGTCGGTGCTGCTCAAGACCCTCAAGAAGGACAACGAGACGTTGGCGAATATCAACAACCACTTCCTCGACATCTACCAGCGGTTCAGGATTCACATGGTCCACGAGAACCACAAGACTGACATTAAAGGCACCAAGTACGTGTAGCTTAGCCTTCTTGTCCCTTTGCTCCCAAGCCACAAGGACAAAACACTAATACAAGCCGGTTCAGGATCACAATTGTCGATGCCAACTCAGCAAGCCCCCAACTGCCCGGGGTAACATACTACGGCGTGGAGGCGACGCACTCGCAAATGTGCAAGTTTGCCAGCAAAAACGCCCCTGGTTTCCGAGCCGTGTCAACCGACATTCGCCAATGGGTCCAAGATGCGCCCGCCCTCATCAATGTGCGCTGGGAAGCAGAAGAGCAGGACAAGGCTACCCGCATGCGACACGAGATCCATGAACGAATGTCCCCATTTGTAAGTCGTGCCATGGCTGCACTCTTCATTTCAAAAGCAAAAGAAGCAATATCTAATTAGGATCCCAAAGATGTCTCCGTCTTCGCCATACATGACTCCGTCCTCACCATTCGTATCGCCATCTTCGCCACGCCGAGAAAGCGACCTGTCCAACATGTCGTCGCTGTCACTCAGCGACGGATCCACCCTTTCTTCGGTATCCCTCTCTTCGTCCCATGTTCCGCGGACGTTTCTCGCCGCGCCGCCGAGGCAGGATGTTGTCCCGCCAAAGATTCCTACCGTGATTGTGTTGGATGAGATGGGCGCCGTGGCAGAGCGGTTTTACAAGCTGAGGAAATAGGAGGGCTTGTCTTTTTTTTTCCCCTTGGCAAAAAAACAAAAAGTGCAATTTTTAGTTTTTCCACGTCTGTGTTTTTTTAGCTAGTTGGCTTGCCGGGATTGTTTGGGTCTGCTTTTAAAGAGAAAATGCCTGCAAAGGCCATGCATTGTCCATGATGATGTTTTTACTACTAGGCATATATATTAGAATGCTCACAGGGCTAATTTTGTATTTCTACACCCGATGCTAATTTCTTGCCTAATTTGACAATGTAGATTGCATTATTTTGGAACACTACTCTTGTCCTTGTGTCTTGGAGCAGCGTTAGAGCAGCAAAACAGCGGTTGGTGGTGGAAGCGTCAGTGTATGTATACGAGGGCTACGCGATGGCGCATGATACATACATGGCTCGTACAACAGCGGAATGTCTGCCGAGGCGGGCTTACCATGTCACGACCGTATAATGGCACAGCAGCGTTTGCCGTGGTATAACATACATAGACACCAGATGGCTCAGGCTCAGGCTCAGGTCTTGGGCTCGGTGCCGCCACGCCGTCTCGACACTCGACTCGACTTGACGCCAAAAAGGGAATTTTGTACAGAGCTGCCAACCACCGAGTTTCCTCCTTGTGCATGAATGGCAACTCGCGTGCATCAACGCCATGCCTGTCTAGCAGTTCCGAGTCGAGCAGCGGCGTTGTTGGTCTCCCCTAACCCGGGCCCAACTCGAGGGCGGTGCAGCATTGCAGCAGGATCTGTACATATGTAGGTACATACATAGCAGTTGAGTCGTCACGGGCATGATGCGTCCATGCACGTCGCATTGTGGCGTCTGGGCAGCCTGGAATAAGGTTTGCGTACGGCAGGCTGCGGCCTGATAACGATGTTGCATTGTGCCGGACTGGATCGACTACGACCGGACCGTCGTCACCAGGAGTAGCACTGAGAATGTGGCAACGCGGACCGTTTCAGGACCGTGGCTCGCTTTGCTCGGAGGCGCTGATGATCTATTATGGGCTGGAGGCTCATGTTGCGTCTGCACCGACTGCGCTTTTGAGCTGGGTGCGCGCGTGTCTGGCGATATGCACGTGTCTAATTATGCCGACTTGCGTCATTCTGTGACTTGTCTTGAATGTATACATGTGCGTGACATGAGATGAAGCCAAATACACACCTACTCAAGTACGTCCTACGAGGAGAACACGCCAGGATTGCGTATTGCAAGAGAGGCTCTCGCAAACTGTACATGTCAAACAGCTCATAGGACACTGGCAAAGCACGACGACTTTCACTCTTCCTCTCTGGTCCAGTCATGAATAAAGACAAGTACAACTCTCATTTCACTTTCGTCATATCCAATTTTCCGCTTTAAACATTTCCCGCAACTACCGAGTATGTAAGCCTCCATCCTTGATTGCGATCCTGTAGACGAGGTTGAGACGTTGTGCATAATAATCCCTTTTGCCTACCAAATCCACGGCAGTCGCTCAGAAGCAGTTTACGAGGCTCCTTCTGCATGGCTCCAATTGGCTTTCTTCCGTAAGCCTCGTCTGTCTACTGCCGGTTTCCAAAACAGCTGTCAAGTCTCGATAACCATGTCCCTTGTCAGGACTAGCCAAATCTACAGATGGCGGCGGCATCCAAAGCCGAGTAGGAAAACAGCTCACGTCAGTGGCGATAGCCATCGTGCGCTACATGTCCTTCTTTTTCCTTGGAGCTTTCTCTGCTTCCATTTCCAGCTACCCAATCGACGCGGCACTTCAAGGAGGCAGGCGGGAACCTAGAGGGACTTCATCAACAGTCCAGCCCTTTCAAACTCTCTCATAATGGAACTTGGCAGGTGGACCACACATGCTGCCTTGATCAGCTTCCCTGGCGCATGTACGGGTGCGAAGTGGCTGTGAGTTGCGGTGGAGAGGAGCATCCAGTTTTTCATCGTTTCAGGTCATCTCTTTGCCTTGGCGTTATGTTGTGTAACTGTCGTCTTCCATGGTGAGCTGAATTGCTAGAGTCGAGTCCAAAGATACAAATCCAACATTGAAGTTGCAATTCAGGTTGAGCGACTTGACTTGGAGGCCAGTTGCCTATTGCCGGTATACGGTCGATCCGAAACATGAACCCACGCTGGTGTTGTAGAATGTCCCACGCTGGACAGAGCTGAGAAGAAGTACTCCGTACTCCGTACATGCTATGCACAAAACAAGTTGACCTGTCATCTTTTTCGGCTAGCTGTTTCTGCTCTGCTATTGCACATGTCATTTTACTTTCGAAAGCCTACGGGCCACTTTGCCGTCGTCAAGTTATGGGCTGAGTTGGTGTTTTGTGACTTCACATCGTCATTGCCACACTCCTGAAACTGTCCAGGCATTTGGGCTCAAGACGAGTCGGGAGTATCGTATTAGAGAGCATCTGAACAAGTGTAATGGAAAGCGACGCACTTACGATCCAAGTTTAGAACAGGATTGCTTCGCTTCTTTAGCACATCTTCCTGACTGCAGTGTCGGCCACACTCGCCCACTTCTTCTGTCCGATCGCTTGGATCGCCAACAGGCCGTGTGCCGCGATTATCAACTCCAAACATACGGTCCCTCTAACTTGGTGATATCCAGCGGATACCTGACTGAATAAGGTTTGCAGCGATGATGCCTGCTTTGTTTGTCTCTCTTGACCTGTAGGAGCCGGTCAAAGTATCACCAGCCAAGTCAGAGCGACACCATCAGCGCGTACTGGTGTCTTCCATGACAATCATTTATGGGGATACATCCCGTGTTGCCATTTCTTGGAGTTCACACCATCTGCATGGAAAACGTGCTAGCCGCCACAAATACAAAACATGCTTTGTCGCTCCTGGAGATTTTGACGCTGACCGACACTCTGTTATTACGCAATTGCATTGGACTCATTCTCAGGAAAGGCTCAAGGAACATGGAATAATCCAATGACGGACCGAGCGTAACCGTCGATCCTGGTCTCTCTTACTTACCCTTACTAGCATTTAGCTGAAGTGACCAGACTGTTGAGGCATTTCGGGCAGGTGGGAGTGATCAGCAATAACATCAGCCGCGTCAAACGTACGTCTAAATTACACGCTTGGATGCTCGCTTCCTCATTGCATTCTTGCCAAGAATCACACTGTGCCGCGGGCCGAAATCCTTGGAACCCTGAAGTCGAAGGTCCGCCAGCAAAACTGGAACACCCCTACCTCAACTGGAACCGATGGCACCCAAATGGGCAGACCAGAGCAGATTAGTACCCTTGCTTTAGATGAAGGGGGAGGGGCGCAGAAAACCAGATACATGCTCCTATGAACACTGTCTGCGGCATGCCAAGTATCGTGAGTGAGCCCTTATCGGCCACTATCAGTATCGTGACATCAGAGGAAGAACTCTGTTTGACAGGATCCATAATCCCACGTGGTGTAAGTTGACGACATCCGTGATGTTGACGAGAAAAATCCAATCTCGAAACCCTGCAAAAATCCCCAAATCCAGCGTGAATAGCTGGAAAAGTTCGTGTACAAGAGCTTCATCAGTCGGTTCCTTGGCAGCAATCCAGTAGGGTCCACTTGAATCCCAACACAAACCGTGAGGAACATCTTGTCGATTTGCCTGGTGACGAGGCCGATTCGGCCACAGTGAGTTTGCATCTTTATCTCACTCTCGGCCAGTACTAATCTGCCTGTCCAAAGATCCCAACTAGTGGCCAAGCGGATCAGTGGGCCTGTTCTCCATAACCGAGCGCTTCAAACGACGATAGCAACGGACCCGTCAAGGAACCCGCAGTGGCATCTTCTCTGGGCCCCCTGACGTCACTTGATATTGATGGAGATTTCGGCAAAGTGTTTGGGACCTCGAGGATGTTTGTGAGGTAAACAGTTGACAGTGTGTGAAGGCGTTTGTTATATTGTATCATCTCATCACGTGTCATGGCGTGCAATCATGAGCGGCGCAAGACCTAATTGAGCTGCCGGACGAGATGTGAATGGTAGGCAAGGCGAGGCTGCGAGATGGTGGATCGTTGGCCGACTTGGCGTCGCGGCAGATGGAGAAGACCCAGATAGAGGCTCAGTAATCTCAGCATCTCTGAGCCTCCCGGCCAATGGCGATGGCATTGATTCGTGTAGACAGGGTTGCAGAAAGACGCCGATTCGTCGCGTCTCGAGACGCCGGGTTGGGCGAAATTCACGAAACATGAACTAGGGTATGGTGTCCCTTGACAATGAATGAAGTACATTCCATAATTTCTGCATTTCAGGACGCCTGCTTGATGGAAGATGCCACGGCCGTTGCCACCTCGAGGGCAAAAATTAACTTTTGACCTTGGGGTCCAGTGCCGAAAATGCCAGCTACTGCCAGGGACGTGGGTACCTGGTAGGTACCTAGGTAGTTATTATGTTTCTTCCCGAGTAGGTCTGTGCCTTGCGAGTTGCTGGCCGTGCTGGCCAAGTGGATGGCCGATGACGATCCTTGGTGGTGGTGTTGCCTGCCAGCTGCACTTTGGGTGAAGCAAAGCCGTGAAGGGTCAACTGGTAGTAGAGGTGGGGGCGTGTGCGTTGCAGGGACGTGTCGAACGGCCCTTCAGCGGCCTCTGGATGTTGGATTAATGCCAGATCATGTCTGTCGATGCGTGGTCCTCGGTCGCCCGCCAACAGGGGATGAAAGGTCAACTGGTGGCACTGGGACAAAGAACATGGACAGCGCCAGCACCATGTGGAGCCGAGTCTCGTTAGAGTCGTTACCGTGCAGCCCCGTGAGCAGGGCGGAGTCGGAGACTGTGCAATGCGGTCATCATGTGGGGTCTCTTCACGGTGTCAACGGGTGCCACTCGGCCCGTTTCATACTGTCCAGCCAACGTCACCTTCCCTCCGGCCACAGACTGAATACTACGAGGACAGAGTTACCCTCGACAACATCGATGTCCCGACCAACACACAGAGGATATTAGAGCATGAGCTTCGAAGCGATATACTAACAGCGAT